GCGCGTGGGGTCAGCACCTTGGGCCGCGGCGGGGGCGCGACCTGGTCAGCAGCGGCGCGCGCGGGCACGGGCACGGCGCGCGGCGGGAACAGCTCCTTCCACTTGGCAAGGTCGGCGCGCGTGATCGCGGTGGCCGCGAGACGGCGCAGGTGCAGAGGGTCTGGATCGTGCGGCAACAGGTACCGCGCAAAACGGTCGGCGAGGTCACGCAGGCCTAGCGGGCGCTCGCCCGGCCGTGCGTCAGCAAACAGGTCGCGGGCGACCTTGGCCACGTCGGTGCGGAGCCGGTCGAGGACCTGGGCGCGCTCGTTCGCGCGACGCGGGCACACGAAGTAGTGCAGTTGGTCATCGGCTGCCCCGCACAAACACGCGCGGCCAGCCGGGAACCGCTCTCCGAGCAGGCCGTGCAGCCGCTCGCGCGTCATCAGGCTACCGAAAAGCGACTGGAGACGGAACGAGGTGGCCTGGTTCTGCTTGCGCGACGTGACGAGCGCGAGCGGCCGCGCGCCGCCATGGAGCGCGAGACCCGTCGCGTTCCAGTCAATTGACGTGGCGAACGGCAAACCCCCGAGCTGGACGTCGAGCATGACGGCACACCTCTCCTTGTCGGCGAGCCGCAGCGCAAGACGGCGCGGGTCCGACCACGCAGGCGCGCCGAGCACTGCCGGCGTCGTCGCGAGCCCCCACCGCGGATGCGTGAAAACCGTATCCGTGAGCTGGACGGCCGACCCGGGCGCGCGCGCGGCACCCCGCCTGGCGAGCAGGTCAGCAACCTCATTCCCAAAATCGCCGTCGTGGCCCTTGACCCACGTCAGCTTGACATCAACGTGCTGCACCGCACGCGCGAGCCGCAGCGCCGACCACAAATCCGCATTCGTCGACCGCACGACGCGGCGCGCCGTGAGAGCGGGCGCCGCCTGCAGCTGCGTTGCCGCACCTGTGATGGCCGCCTGGGAATCGAGGCGCGCGTCGAGCCGTGCGCCGAAACTGCAGTGGTCGACCGCGACGAGGAGAGCGAAAACCTCGGACCGCGTCGACGAGTGCGGGCCAGCGGGCAGGCGTATGGCGACCTCGCGCGACGCGCCGGGAAAAGCGTCTTGGCGCAAGGACGATGTTATTGACTGACCTGCTACAAACCGTGGGGAAGCGCGCAGGGCTCATAACCCTGAGGTCGCAGGATCGAAACCTGCAGACGCTATCATTTCTATTGCTCTAAACGCTACTGGAAAGCCACCTGCTGCAAGCGCACAAGTGTCCTTGTATATGTCCTCAACATTTTTGCCCAGATTTTCATTTGGAGCACGTCCACCTTACAACGCGTTGCGGTTGTCCCACGTGCTGCTCACAGCGCGCGTCGCTGATGGCGCTCATGTGGGCGACAACGCGACCATTTACATGGGCAACATGGGTGCCTCTGAAATGGTGTTTAGTGAGCCTTATTGCGCGGCCAAATGAGCGTGCTGGGCTTGTGGCTTCCTTGCTGTCATCTGTCGCATAGCAAATTCCAGTTAGGTATATTGCATGGCGTGGCACTGTTGTGCAAGGCAGTGCATTCCGACGTGCCATTGAGAGAGAGACAAGCCTTGACGCAAAAGCAGAAGGCTGCTGCGGATTGCCGATGTCGCAGGATCGAAACCTGCAGACTTATTAATGTGATGGTGGGTTCTTGTCGTGCACCATAATTGCGAAGTGCTCGTGCGGGTGTATTGGTCTGGTATTCGTTCCAACGGTCATGGATGCCTGCAATCGCGAGACACAAATATTGAATTCCCTTCTTTCATCGCAACCACACTCCAATGAAATCGCAACAACCAGCATCTCATTGGTAGCTCTGACGGCTTGTCCCGCCACCTCTCCCAACATGTGCTTCCCTCAACAATCATCAACGCACGGGAACCCATGGAACACAGCCGCCGTGACCGCCTCGACCGCACGCGGCGCACGCGCCAGCGCCGTGCGCGAGACCAGATCCCCGGCCTCCGTCTCCAAACTCGGCGACCGCGGCGGCTCCGGCGTGTCGCGCAGCGTCGCGCTCTGCTGCTCGTGCTCCGGGTTGTGCTCGACGACGGGCTCGGGCGTGACGAGCAGGTCGGCCAGCAGCGACGCGAGCCCGCCCCACCCCTC